ACTGGGCTGCAGATGAAGGCCAGCAGATTCTGCACGAGCCTTGATAATCTCGACGTCGGCCGCCACGTCCTCCGCGGGACCCATCAGTACAATGTCGTCGAGGTACTTGATGACCTTGCAGCGATAGTCAGTGGTGGCGTCGCGGAGACCCAGGACCCCACAGGAGTACAGGGCAAAGAAGAAGGGCGATAGCTCGTTGCCCTGCACAATGCCTTGGCCAACATCAATGTCAATCACCTTGAAGAACTTGTCGACAATGCAGTGGGTAGTGGGTCGAGCATAGTGTCGTTCAAAGGCGCGCAAGAGGCCAGGGACCTTGTCGGCCACAATCTCGTGCAGCCGTGCTCGGTCGGTGTAGTTGAAGGCACTCTTGAAATCGAGGGAGAGCATGGTCCAGCCCGGGGTAGACTCACAGGCTTGAAGCTCACCAAAGGCCATGCCAACCGCTGCTGAAATGCCGTCCTTGACTCCGACAGCCAGCTCTGGACTGGCCTGTAGCAAGTGGGCAATATGGGGCTGCTGTTGCTCGAGCAGAGCGCGGTTGACAACCTTGTTGAAGATGGAATCCGTGCCCACGGGTCGAAACTTGCCATTGGCCTTCTCCAGGATAGTGTAGTTGATGGAGCAAAGGGCATGTCGAATCGACTCGGGCACGGTGTTGTTGGCAATGTGGTGAAAGATCTTGTTCAAGGCAACCTGAGGACCTCCAGTGGCGGTGGTGGGGCCCTGAGGCGCGTCTCCATCAGAAAAGGAGCTCGCTTCACGGATCGGGACCTTGCTGTTCATGATCTGACGAAAAAGGAGCTCGCAGATCCGGCTCTCGCAGATCAGAACCGGACCGAGCATGGCCCAGGCAGAAGAGGAGCTAACAAATGACCTGGCTGAGCATGGCTCGGGCAGAAAAGGAGCTCGCTTCACGGATCGGGACCTTGCTGTTCATGATATGACGAAAAAGGAGCTCGCAGATCCGGGTCTCGCGGATCGGGAGCTGGCGAAGAATGGCCCAGGTAGAGAAGGAGCTCGCATATCCGGCTCTCGCAGATCAGAACCGGACCGAGCTTGGCCCAGGCAGAAGAGGAGCTAACAAATGACCTGGCTGAGCATGGCTCGGGCAGAAAAGGAGCTCGCTTCACGGATCGGGACCTTGCTGTTCATGATATGACGAAAAAGGAGCTCGCAGATCCGGGTCTCGCGGATCGGGAGCTGGCGAAGAATGGCCCAGGTAGAGAAGGAGCTCGCATATCCGGCTCTCGCAGATCAGAACCGGACCGAGCTTGGCCCAGGCAGAAGAGGAGCTAACAAATGACCTGGCTGAGCATGGCTCGGGCAGAAAAGGAGCTCGCTTCACGGATCGGGACCTTGCTGTTCATGATATGACGAAAAAGGAGCTCGCAGATCCGGGTCTCGCGGATCGGGAGCTGGCGAAGAATGGCCCAGGTAGAGAAGGAGCTCGCATATCCGGCTCTCGCAGATCAGAACCGGACCGAGCTTGGCCCAGGCAGAAGAGGAGCTAACAAATGACCTGGCTGAGCATGGCTCGGGCAGAAAAGGAGCTCGCTTCACGGATCGGGACCTTGCTGTTCATGATCTGACGAAAAAGGAGCTCGCAGATCCGGGTCTCGCTATTAGAGGCACAATCTGAGACGGTATACTTTACCACGTTGTGTGTCCTGATGTTGTCCCACCTTGTTGTGTAACATCTTGCTGTACCATCTTGGTGTATCATCTTGTTGTGGCATCTGTTGGTCCCAACAGATTGCTGATATCGCTTCCACCTGTCTTCAGTGTGATAGTCCATTCTCTGTCTCCACTGTGTGTGTGTTTCCACCTGCTATAAATGGGAGCGATCTCCCTGGATCGGTACCATTTTCCTTCTTGACCTCGGTCGTTCCACTTCCCTCCTTCTGTCTTGTTCTGTCTTGTTCCTTCGCCTTGCTTCAATCCATGTTCTCGTATGCACTTCGATTGGTTGGATACCTCTGTGACAATCGCCTTGTCCACACACATAACACTGTACTGGACATATACCTTTAATAGGTTATGGGCCTCGGTTGTGTACTCTTCCAACCTCCCTTTCGTTACCCTGCCTCGCGCTTTCCAGCTGCTCTGTTCCCCTCCTGCTTCCTCCCTGTGTCTTCTGCTTGTGTTGTGAAAACGTTTCAAAATCATCAAAAACCTCTTTGTTCTCTCTGTTTTGAGACAGTGCAAAATTGTCATACTTTTTTGTTTGTTTGCTTGCTTCCTTGCTTGTTCTTTTTTTGTTGTTGTTGTACCTTTCCCCTCCCTTGATCATCGCCATCATGCCATTTAGTGTTATGCATACTCCTGTTGACCAGCGAGTCACTCGTAACCGTGGCGCTGTGCACAGCGCTGCTCGCGCTGCTGCCACCAGAAACTTTGAGGCTCACACCGACCTCACGCGCGACTTCCAGCACGAAGAAGATCATGCCGAACCCGACGCTCTCGATTGCTTGGTCAATGAGCATGAGGAAGAGGAAAGACCGAAAATGGCCGCCACCGGGTCGCACCCGGCCACGCCTGCGACAGGAGCCGCTCCCGTCGAGGCTACCGCGAGCGCTTCTCGCCATGCCGCAAGCGCCGCCGCCACATCAGCCGCCGCCGCGGGCCCTGGATCCCCCCGCAACAATGACGCCGCCGTGGCCCAGGTCCACAGGACCCTTCAAGCCCTAGTGCACTCTCTAGGCTCTCAACATCAGCTCCAATCGCAGATTGCCGAGCTTGAACGCGAGATAAACGCTGCCCTTCGGCTCATCCCGGACAGGGGCCGCTCACATGGTTCGTTACGCGCGCACGAGACCCAGTCGCCTTCTCGTGACCTTGCGACCGATTTTTCTTTGCTCGCTCCCTCGCCCGCGGCGCACCCGTCTGCCCGCGATGGCGAAGTGGCGTTTGGCCTGGCCTCCAATCGCCCTCTACCCCGGCTCCCGAGAGAGCCCGTGCACGAATCGCTCTCTCACGACTCTCGTTATCGTCATGGCTATTTGAGCTCTCCCGCACATGACGATAGAGCCACCACGCCCAGGCGCTCTCCCATGGAAGCAGTGGATGCATCCCAATTTGGTGTTGCCTTTGGCACCAATGCGCCACCACGGGCCGGCTCTCGGACTCAACCACCCCACCACGTTTGGCACCGAGCCTACCAAACCTCAACCAAGTGGGAGTCCTATCGCGGTGACAGCAAGAAAGGTCTCGACTGCCTCAAAGAAAATGTCAACTCGGCCCTCGTTCTTCTCCAAGCCGAGCCCTTGCTGCATATGGCCACCCTCGATCTAGACGGCTGCACCGCCGCTGGTATCCAGGATATTTATGGCGACATTTCTTCCGACCTGGACTACCTCATCTACGTCAACGACATCATGGTTGACTGGATCTTACCGTGCTTGAGAGGTGACCTTGCCTCTCGGTTTCAGCGCGAAAAATCACGCCAACGCATCGTCTTGGGCGCCTGGTTCAAACAGATGGGCGCCCTCTTCCTCCAGACCACTCGTCACGACATTACCCAAGCCTCTCAGGCTCTTCGCGACCAACGCATCCGCACGGCCGACGACTTTCCTGTCTACCGCTCCTCCATCACTGCCGCCGTCGATACCCTTCGCATTGAGGGCGCCTACTCGGCAACCCTTGTCATCGCCCAGCTGGTTGATGACCTGCCTTCAAAACTCAGGGACGTGATTGCAAACCTGTATCAACCGTCTTGGGATTTGGGCAAGTTCTTTGAGGTGGTGACTGCTAACCTGCACAAACTCACGCCTGCTGGTGCCCGCGCCGAACCTAAACAGGGTGCCTTTGCTGTTGAGCATGGTGGAGGGCGCGGGCACGGGCATGGCCGTGGACGTGGTCGCGGACGCGGTCGTGGACGTGGTCGTGGCCGTGGTCGCCATGGTATACACCACGGGCCCCACCCAAAGAGTGAGCGCGTCAATGCCAACTGTGAATTTTGTCGCATCTATGGCCACGATGTATCTCAGTGCCGCAAGAAGCGCGCGTACGAGAAGCACAATGGCAAGCAGTTTGCGGCCCCCGTCATGACCGCGACCTTGTCTCTTCCACCCCCCTCCCATTTGCCTGCTGCACCTGCTGCTCCTCCTTCCCATTTGCCCGCTGCTCCTGCTGTGAATTATTCGCCCGCACAAACACATTATCGTCACCACGAGTTGTTCTTGACTTGTTTGTCAGCCACCAACCTGGCCACCAGCAATCGTGCATTGGTGGACAGTGGTGCCACTGCTCATTTTTTTGTTGATCGTGATTTATTTCGTGACCTTGCTCCAAGCTCTGAG